AAATTCATGTCCCGACTGCTCCACTTTTTTTTTGACAGGCAGAGTGGACAGTGAGAGAGACAGAGAAAGGTCTTCCTTCCTCCATTGGTTCACCCCTCAGTGGCCACTGCGGCTGGCGCGCTGCGGCCAGCACACCGTGCTGATCCAAAGCCAGGAGCCAGGTGCTTCTCCTGGTCTCCCATTCGGGTGCAGGGCCCGAGGACCTGGGCCATCCTCCACTGCACTCCCAGGCCATTACAGAGAGCTGGACTGGAAGAGGAGCAACTGGGACAGAATCCGGCGCCCCAGCTGGGACTAGAACCTGCGGTGCCAGCACCGCAGGCAGAGGACTAACCTATTGAGCCGCGGCGCTGGCCTCCACTTTTGATCCAGCTCCCTGCTAATGGCCTGGGAGGGCAGCAGAGGATGGCCCAAGTGCTTGGACCCCTGTACCGACATGGGAGACCCAGCTGAAGCTCCTGGTTTCAGCCTCGTCCAGCCCTGGCTGTTGCTGCCATCTGGGGAGTGAACCAGCAGATGGAAGACCTCTCTCTCTTTCTAACTCTGCCTTTCAAATAAAAAGAAAAAATAATCTAAAAAAAAGAAAGAATTGAAAATGATTTCCAAAGCTCTTTAAGACTGGGATTACAACATCAATATTTTCCCAGGACAGTCTTTTAAAAATGAATATCCTCGTTAGGTGAGTTTCTTCAGGAATTGAATCTATGTGTTGTTCAATGACTTGACTGGATTGTTTTCCCTAAAGCCTAGTGGCAGCGATTAAGAATAACAACAACAAAAATCCCACCAATATTTTCCAGGTGGTTTGGACTTACTAGCTTTTAATATAGTATGTATTTATAGTTAAAGCTTTTAATTCCACAGTACATTATATCTCAGGTCTGAGATATCCATGTTCAAAGTCTATCATATGGCAGACATTCAGTTAATCAGACACAACTACTAACAACCAGTAGGACCTGCTGCAGGGTTTTGGCGGTGAGGGTCAAGGAAGACTATAGATGTGAGTGAGGCCAGTCCCCTGCCCTCAAGGAGCTTGATTGTAGGAGGGCTGTCAAAACATACACTGCAAGAGAGAAATCAGACCTGGGCTCTATTCTGGTGTCACTAACTGGCTGCTTGAGCTGACATGTTATTTAATCTTCCCAAGTCTTAGTTTTATCATCTATCAAATGCTTAGAAGGGCAGAAATAGGCTGTGTAGATTAAAGTGAAAAAATACGTGGAAATAACTAGCACAGTTCCTGGCACATCTGGGTATTCAGTGGTGCTTGTTTTTCACTCGTATATTTATAGAAATGTCAGATTTTAAAAATGCTAGAAGTCACAGAAAGTGTGTTTAGAGGAAAGGAAGCCATTCTAGCTGAAGGAAATGTGATGTGATGAATGTCACAAAGCAAGAAGTTTACCATGTTTGCTCATGGACACCAAGCAAAGGCAGCCTCCTGGGCACTCTGGCTACCACTTTGGCTCAAGTGCTCTGGGCCAGAGTATTTCCTGATAAGCAAGTGTCTATAGTCTATTAAATAGTCAAGGGATGAGCTCAGTGGTAGGTTGGCCTACTGTGCCAGTGTTAGCAGACCACCATCTTCTTGGGAGAATTAATTTGTTTCTTGTTTCTTTTTTTTTTTAAGGATTTATTTACGTATTTGAACGAGTTACACAGGGAGAGGAGAGACAGAGATCTTCCCATCTGCTGGCTCACTCCCCAAATTGGCACCAGCCAGAGCTGAGCCAATCTGAAGCCAGGAACCAGGAGCAGTTTCTGGGTCTCCCATGTGGGTGGCAGGGACCCAAGTAATTGGGCCATATTATGCTGCTTTCCCAGGTGCATTAACAGGGAGCTGGGTCAGAAGCAGAGAAGCCAGGAATTGAACTGGTACCCGTATGGGATGCTAACACCTGAGACAGTGGCTTTATGCCACACTGTAGGCCCCAATTTTTTTTTTTTTTAAATAAGCAATGAGGTAGAAATTCCAGCACAATAATAGAGAGACACTCAAGGGGTTTGCCGTTGTGTCTACAGTCTCTGCTTGGTTGTGCTCCACTTACTCACCCAACTCGTGTGTTTGAAGCCCTAATCTCCCATGTGACTGTACTGAAGATGAGGCTCTTAAGGAGGAAGTTAAATGAGATCATAAAGGTGGAATCATAATCCAACAGGACTGGTATCTTTATAAAGAGGAAGAAACACCAGCAATCTCTGCTCCATGTGTGTACACAAAAGAAAGGCCATGTGAGGACCCAGGGAGAAGGAAGCCATTTGCAAGCCAACGAGAAAGACCTCACCAGAGATCAACTCCACTGGCACTTTAATCTTGGAATTAACATCTTCCATGGTGGTCGTAAATAAATTCCTATTGTTCAAATCAACCAGCCTATGTTGTTTTATAATAACAGGCTAACACACTACCAAAAAGTGTCAGAAATGCTCTTGGGTTTTGTCCACATTGGTTTTATCCTTATGTGAGAAAGCTCTCCTGTTTTACAAATGTCCACGGAGTTCCTAACTCTCTGCTCTGGGGAGGCTGGAACAAAAGGTTTCACTCACACTCAGGTGCCTTCTTCAAAGCAAGGATTCTATTTTTTTTCTCCCTTGGGTGGAAACAACTGGCAGGAAGGACATCTGTTCATTCCTGCAGAATCTGTTCTGGGACCAGTTCAGTTACTGGTGGCTGCTTCTCAGGTCTTTACTATCAATATGAAGGAAAAGACCATGTGGAACACTTCTCATTAGAATTTGAAAATCACTTAAATATTTAGGAGCAGTCAGGACTCATAATAATACTAGGGTACTTCAAAAACTTTGTGCAAACATGAAATTAAAAGACAAGTTTATTTGAGTGCAAAATTTTAAAAATAATATGTAATTAAATAGTAGGCACATTTATGAATATTACACGGTGGTGGGTTCTGACAGAGCTCAACTGTGATAAAATCCTACGCTCTTCCAGTGTTCTTACAACAAGTAATAAAAAGGCAGAAAGCACATATTTCAACCAAACGTGAAAGAGATAGAGAAATATTTATACATATTTTCAGTGGTTTTGTTCTTGATAGAGGGAAAGACAATAGAGCAATAAGGAGGGGGTCACTGGATAAGTAGGGGATTTCCAAGAGCTAAATGGTGAGTTGAAAGACTTTTGAAAGTGGGATCCCACTTGTCATTGTCACCCTTGTTTCCTCTGACACATGTAGGAGGAATGCAGAAATTTATACATTTAATCTTAACCCTCTTCTAACAGGTGTTCCCTATTGCAGAGATCTACAAAGTTAGAAGGACTTTCCCCAGCCTCTCGAAGTTAGGTTCACATTGTGATTGGGAGTCTGCTGATGCCTTGCATTTGTGCAAGTGTTGAATTTGCAGTTGAGATACTTGGTGAGAGAGGCAGGTCCTGTGACTTCCAGGTTCTGATGTATGTGGTATTGAGGCAACAGCTGTGGCAGCTGCTTCCCTCCAGTTTCAATAGGCAATGTCCTCATTGTGACCTGGCAATAGCTTTCTGGGTGGCCCTGCTATGTGGCTTTGAGAGTACTTCCTGGAAACACAACTTAGAACCCATTTCTCCATAATTTCATAAGCTATTTAATAGCTGTAATGAATTTTCTGTCTAATCTAGCCATAGCAAGTCCTGTCTCTGCCAAAGAGCTGTGCTGCTACACTGGGATGGCAGTAAGTGGGCAGCTAGTGGGGAAGGCTGCTGGGGTTTCCTGAATCTGTTGGGCTGCGCCACTGCTTTCTCTTGTCCAGCCACATGAACCTTTTCTTCTTCGCTGCATGTTTCCCTGTCTCAGAACCTCAGGCGGGAGCATGCGTTAACTGATTTGTTCTGAAGTCAAGCTTCACGTCAAATCTCAGACCTTAGGATGCCCAGCTTGTGTTCTCTTCACATTTTGTATTCCTTTTGTAATGAATCACAGGGATAACTAAATAATGATCTGTGTAAGTTAAAAATAGATGTCTTCCTTGCCAGGCAGGGAAGTCTGAGAGCAGAGACTGGTACAGTCGTTTGCTTCCACTGTCTTAAAAGCACTTTGTACATCAGTACATAGAGTCTGAGTGACTGTGCTCCAGCTCTCTGCTCCAGTCTTGTTGCATCTCTAACGATAACTTCCATGATTGTCACAGTGGGTGACGAGAACTTGGAGAATCTGTCACAGAATCTTAAATGCTTCTGCCTGGGAGTAACACACATCACTGCCCTAAACATTTTGTTAGCCAATCAAATCATAGACCACCTAGATCCAAAAAGGTGGCCCAGAAAAGATTGGAGAACTGCAAATATTGGCATGCAATATGAATGTCTGTTGCAGCCTCCTACCCAAGGAGCTAACCCAGACGTTAAGGTTGGGATAGGGGGAAGTATTGATTATTCCATAAATGGTGACTTGAATTTTTATCTCCTAATAAAGCAAGCACATTGCATTCTTTGTTCTAAGGCATATTTTTACTTTTTGTTATGTTCTCTACTGACGAATGTGCACTCTTATCCTGGCAGCCCTAAGCTCATGGCTTTACCAGAAATATCCTTGTGAAAATGAACTTTAGGTCAACAGCAGAATCTGCTTACCTAGGCAGGCTGATCATCTATTCATTGCTTTCACAAGGGCAAGCAGATTTAGTCCCTTTGTTATACATGAATGATGGCTGTGCTGTTGCTCTCATTCATTTGCCTTGAAATATAGTCACTCTTGAAGCTTTGCAGAATGGGTCTGCATCAATAACCAGTCCCCACATTGATTGAACATCTGTTACCTATAATGCTTTTATTAGGTATTGGTAGGTGCAAAAAGTACAATTCATGGCTCTTGTCCTCTAAGAATTAACTCTCCAGCTGAGGAAACAATATGTAAATCCCCAAATATTACCTAAATTCATGGCTATATATTTTAAAATACAGTGTCAGTGACCAGGCAGTAAAAGAATTTCAGAGGCAAGAAAGCACTCAACGAGTTATGTTGTCAGGGTCTCTGGGGGATGAGAATGGTGAGCTGGGTTTAGGGGAAGGGCTAGGGTAGGACTCAGGTAATGCAGGCTGGATTGTCATCCTAGACCAGGGATTCTCCAGGGAGAGGCTGGAAGAGGATAAGGGAAGAAGAAGGTCAGTGACAGGTATGGGGGAGAGAGCCCACCTGCTTGTTGAAAGGAGGGTACTTCACCCAGTGGTGGCCTCCTTTATCACGTCATCTTGGTTCTGAATTTGAGTCTTTGCCAGGTCACAATCCCACCTAGAATTTTAGAAATTCTATGTCTTCCATCAAGTCCAGCTTTTGTGTCCTTCACATCCTACCAGCCCAACAGCTCTGTGCAGGCAGCTGAACCCACCAGCACCCTGGATTGGACCCAGGTCTGCTAGCTGCCTCTTGAGGAGAGATGCTGACCCGAGGGTGCCAGGCTGGAAGTACCAGGAATTTGTACCCCCAGGGAAAACCTTGACCACTGGGAGACTGCCAGCAGGTGTGTGTTCTCCTCTCCTCTTCTGTACCCGGGGCTGACGACTATGAGGGCCTTTTGCACATTTTCTCAGGGGGTCCCCAGAGGGAGTGAACCACTGTTTTCCTTGGGGTAACTTTCCCCCTAACTAACCCCACACAGACTTTTCCTCTTCGGTTTCACTCCTGCCTGTTCCAAATTAAGCTACACATCCTCATGCCCAAGTTAAGACACATCTTATAGCTTAAACTTTCTTTTTTTCTTTTACTTTCTTCATAAAAGTATTTACTTTGTTTCAGAAGTTAATTACTGAAAAAAGGCTTATTTTTGTGCCTTGCTCTTACAATTCAATAAGCATATCTACCCGATTTTGAAAATAAATACACTGCATCAACTGTGTAACTGTGTGGGATATCATTTTATATATATATATATATATATATATATATGTATATCACTTATATACCACTTCTCCATTTACTCTTTTTTTTAAAGATTTATTTATTTATTTGAAAGTTAGAGTTACACAGATAAAGGAGAGGCAGAGAGAGAGAGAGAGAGAGAGAGAGAGAGAGGGAGGTCTTCCATCTGCTGGTTCACTCCCCAGTTGGCCGCAACGGCTGGAGCTGCGCCAATCCGAAGCCAGGAGCCAGGAGCCAGGAGCTTCCTCCAGGACTCCTATGCGGGTGCAGGGGCCCAAGGACTTGGGCCATCTTCCATTGCTTTCCCAGGCCATAGCAGAGAGCTGGATGGGAAGTGGAGCAACCGAGTCTTGAACCGGAACCCATAAGGGATGCCGGCCTTCAGGCCACTGCGTTAACCCGCTGTGCCACAGCACTAGCACCCTCCATTTGCTCTTAAGACAAACATCTAATGGACAGCTTTATGTGTGTCTGTTCTCCTTCAAAGTGCCCTTAATCTCCATTTTGATGTGGTTTCCCCTAATCAAAATATGAGGGAAGTATCCTAGCCTGCTTTTTATTAGGTAGGCCAAGATTGAAACTTCAGACGTGGTTGAAGTTTTTGCAAGACATACAGATATGCCTCTATACCTCTGGGAGTTTAGCTAACTGAGACATCAGAAGGAAAAGTCCACACAGGAGACCACCCTCAATATTAACGTTATTTGCAAGATAGGGGTTCCCCATGGCTACCACACTTCTAATACTAATTGCAAGTTCAGAAGTATTTAAGACTACTCTTAGTTTCCATAATTTGCTAGAAGAATTCGTAGAACTCAGTGAAAGCTGTTACATGGTTATAGATTAATGAAGCTAAAGGACACAGATTAAAATCAGGGCAGATTCCAGGAAGGTACCTAATGCAGAGCTACTGTTGTCCTCTCCCTCTGGAATAAGGACATGTTACTTTCTCAGCACTGATGTGTGACATGTATGTGTTCAGTGTTGCCAGCCGGGAAAGCTTACCTGTGCCTGCGTGTCCAGGTCTTTCTTGGAGTTCCCGTGGGAACCTGCAGGAGATCAACTGGGGGCATAACCCAAAGGCTCCACCATATGTCACATTGATGATGTGGCTCAGAGCCCCTACCCTTAACTGTCTGACCCAGGCCCTTCGGCTGACAGGGACATGAAGCTGACTATTATGAACCTGAGGGTCATTTAAGTAGGAAACAAAAGCCAGACCTCTTTGGGGGGACAAAGTTACATTCTTTACTACACAATGCTAAAACCAGAAATGACTCCATTAGGGCTTCCTAGGGAACTGCTAATTAATAATGTCTAATTTCTTTCCTGAGACAGTTATTTAACTGAATTACATGGGAATGACCACTAGTATGCACAAGAGAAAGAAGGGTCCTTGACAGCAGGTAGCTCAACATATGGCAAAGAGAAGACCATAGCTCTGTCTCTGTCCAATAGCCACTTCCAGCCCCTATTCCCATCTAGACAGCCTCCTATGGCAAACAGCAAGCTGCCTGAGCCACACATTTCCCCCTAGGTCTAGGCTCCATTTATTTAAGGGAAATCAAATTGCCATGTTTCAGAATTGCTTATACTTAACTCTTTAAAATTTTTCATAGTAGAAATTCCTCCTTTAAATTTTAGCTGAGGAGCTGACATTATGGTACAGCGGGTTAAGTTGCTACTTGCAATGGTGGCATACCATATTGGAGCACCAGTTCTAATCCCAGCAGATCCACCTCTGATCCAGCTCCCTGCTAATGAGCCTGAAAAGGCAGCAGAAAGTGGCCCAAGTGTTTTAGTCCCTGCCACCCATGTGAGAGACCCAAATGGAGTTCCCTGCTCATGGTTTGGGCCTGGCCCAGCCTTGGCTGTTGTGAGTATTTGAGACGTGAACAAGCAAATAGAAGATTCATTCATTCTCTGTCTCTCTCAAATAAGTAATTAATTTAAAAAAAAATTTCAGTTAAGGTGGGGATTAAAGAAGTTGTTCAGGCACTTAATACAACCACAAATCTAGTTTCAGGCCAAGAAATCACAAATTATAGTGTCAGTGTTGATAATACATAGGGAATGTGTTCTTCTGGACCTCACATGCTTAGTTCAGACCACACCTACAAAGCTTTTTGTGGCAATCTGACAAAGGAACTCAGTCTTGTAAATGCTCAGGCCACTGAGTGTCTCCTGCCTCTGTTCCCATCTAAACTCAACTTGTATGCTTATCTTTATGACTAGACTGGAAAACTCCAGATGAGGGGGTATTTCATATCTTGGTTCTTGCTACACATTGCCCAGCACAGCACACTTTGATGATTACTGGCAGAACACACAGTAGGGGCTTAATCATTTGTTGATGGTGAAATAATTTATATTATATTGCTCTAGGTTCCTTTTGCGTATATTTAATTATTTGGTCCCTATAATGCATAATAATTGATTTTCCTCCAAATTTGGAAATACCACCCCCATCCCAATTATTTAGTTCCAAAATCCTGTGCCTTTGGTTCTAGGAAAACCCTTGGGAATTATATTTTTCCCTACTAATAACATAGCCTCTGCACTACGCTGATGAGAAGAACTGAAACATGATTGAATGCACAGAAGGAATCAGAAAGAACTCTGGGGTATGGGAAAGCAGGAATTTGCTGTAGTTTAATGGAGAGTGCCACCACCCCTTGGAGGTATGCAGTCAACCTAAACAGATCCACAATCAAAACCCACTGACTTTGTTCCTTAAATAGACTTTATATAATTTGTACATTAAATGAAGTTAAACCTTTTCCAAAGGTACAATCACCACCGATTCACAAATTCTGTGACTAGGAGCAGAGCCATTTACACACAATTCTGGGTTTCTGCCATATCATTACTTTAAGTTAATGAACTGGTTTAGACCAAGTCCTGCCCCTAAAGGGTCCTTAATGACTAACTGTTATTGTCAAGGAAAGCAGTGAAAATTGAATTGTTGTCCAAGAGAAATGAGGCCAGAAGACCATTCCCTTTATTGCTAAAACAACTCCATGTGTTTTATTAAGTGGGCCAGTTTGCAGAGTAGTCTGGCCATAGAAAGATTTGTAAAATCCAGTATTGATATATTCTTTAAGGCTTTCAGGACAAGCATTAACTAGTTATACAAATGATCCTTGTCATCTTTGGCCAAATACCCATTTTCCTAAATCTAACATTTCTGAGGATCCAGCTGCTTCATCTAGTAAGTATTTTGTAAAATATCTGGGAGACTTATTGATTGTCTTTCAGTGGTACTATTATTTTTAACTTTTATTTAACAAATATAAATTTCCAAAGTACAGTTTATGGATTACAGTGGCTTCCCCCCACCCATAACTTCCCTCCCACCCCCCACTCCCTCTCCCATTCCATTCACATCAAGATTCATTTTCAATTATCTTTATATACAGAAGATCAATTTAGCATATATTAAGTAAAGATTTCAAGAGTTTGCACCCACACAGAAACACAAAGTGTAAAGTATTGTGTGAGTACTAGTTATAGCATTAATTCACATTGTACAGCACATTAAGGACAGAGATCCTACATGAGGAGTAAGTGCACAGTGACTCCTGTTGTTGACTTAACAATTTGACACTCTTGTTTATGGTGTCAGTAATCACCTGAGGCTCTTGTCATGAGTTGCCAAGGCTATGGAAACCTTTTGAGTTCGCCCACTCCGATCTTATTTAGACAAGGTCATAGTCAAAGTGGAAGTTCCCTCCTCCTTTGATGGCTCGTTCATTCCACTGGGATCTCACTCCCAGAGATCTTTAATCTAGGTTGTTGTTGGTTTTTTTTTTTTTTTTTTTTTTTTTTTTTGCCAGAGTGTCTTGGCTTTCCATGCCTGAAATACTCTCGTGGGCTTTTTAGGCAGATCTGAATGCCTTAAGGGCTGATTCTGAGGCCAGAGTGCTATTTAGGACATCTGCCATTCTATGAGTCTGCTGTGTATCCCGCTTCCCATGTTGGATCGTTCTCTCCTTTTATAATAATAATTCTATCAGTTAGTATTTGTAGACACTAGTCTTGTTTATGTTATTGCTTTGACTCTTAATCCTATCATTATGATCAATTGTGAACTGAAATTGATCACTTGGACTAGTGAGATGGCATTGGTAGATTCAGTGGTACTCTTTTAAAACAGGATGGATTTCAGCTCTGGGCTGTGATTTGAGTGTGATTCTACAAGATGTAGGTTCAAGGTCATTCCCACAGAGGAGAGGTTGGGCAGACAAAAACACATTAAGGTTCTTGATGTGATAACAACTTTCGTAAGACTTCTAACTGCTATTTGCCCTCTTCACTCTCATTCTCTCCTGACTGTACAGGGGAGTTTTCCAGAGGGTATGTTTGATATCACAACAGATTGAATAAAGAAGCAGATATGAGAATCCACTTCTTTGTGTAAACTAGATATTATAGAGGGTAGCAAAAATGGGAAACAATGCTTTTCTCACATTTGTTTTAAAATACAGTAATTTTTCATAAAATGCTACTTATTACTATGTAATGGATTTGTTACTTTATTTTTTTTTAAGATTTATTTATTTATTTACTTGAAAGGCAAAGTTACAGAGACAGGGAGAGACA